AAGCTACTGTTTGATGAATACCTTCTTCTTTGGATAAATGTTGACAGATATTATTCAGCCAGATATAGACCTGAACAAATAATGCAAAACATTATTACAGATGGATAATTTATGTGACGAATAGCAGCTCTCTTTGACAAACAATATTAGTCTGTCTCTAGGACTGGCTACAAAAGATGGTATTGCCACATCAAAATATCACATCAGTCACCTGTATTGATATTCCATGTAAATGGCCAGTGAAGGCCTTTAAGATACCCAGTCATAGGAAACAGCCACTCCCCTATAAACAAATGGGAGCACTCAGTGCACTCTGGGCCAAGTTCAAACCTGACGAAAGTGAATATATTAGGAGATGAAAGTTGATAACACCAAACTGGAACTTTAAGACAATCCAAGTTGTGTCCACTGCCGTTAAAATCTCTTAAATGACATGTTCAACATGCAGGTAGAGTGAGTTCAGCATAACCCATTGTAAAGTAAGCCAGTGCCTTTGGTTTAACAAAAAATAGTAAGTGTTTTCTTTGGAAGCACAGCTTGGAAAAGGAAGTAGCTACTCTAAATTTCATCACAGGTCAATCACTGCATCACATCCCAACTCTTAGCTTTAAGCTTCTCTACTCTACTTGCTTTGCAGAAAATGTGCACTGTAGCTGGGAGGCACTGAGTCAACAGAAAATCCTCAGAAGGCTTTACCTCAAAGACATTTTATCCTGCTATTCTGGATAGAAACCAAAATCTTCTATTATTGAAAGCTGTATTAAAAAAACAGACTCCAAAATGAATGAAAACATGACCTGGTGCTAGATAAAAGATGTGAGGTGTGTATGTTAATCCAGGATATTTCTGGCTGTGTGGACAACACCAGCATTCAGATTGACGCCCAGAAGTTCATGAGATCTCTGTAAAGCAACATGTAGCCACTACTTGACCTTTTTCTCTTGTATTGAGCCCCCTTGGAGCACTGACCCGAGAAGGGCTAAAAGGGAGATGCTGAGGAGCACAGAGTGTGAGGAACAGGCTCCCTGAGCCCAGCCCTCCCTTCTGGGCCCTGCACAGCCAGGAGCTGCTGTCTCTTGCTCCTTGCAGCGAGCAGATGAGGATGTTCAACACTGTTAATGTTTAACAAGGACAAGTGTAAGGAATCCTTAACAGCGAAAAGCTTCACTAGACTTGAATAAAAATCACTCCTCATTTGCACAGGGAGCAGGATTTCTGCATGGCTTGGTTTTGTTGTCACAGGAAACGATAGAGCTGGGTGCACATTAGCTATGATCCTCTCCTAAATAATGCTGAAATAATGTCTCAGCGAGTTGTGCCGGTGTTTGCAATGATTGTGATCCTGTGCAGGGCTCACTGACAGCCAGGGTTCTGGGTGTGCACGTGCACACATTCCAGGAGTATTTTTGCATTAGACCGTTGTCATGTTATGATGATTTGGGCAGGATGGTCCACAGAATAAGGATAAGCTGAGTAAAAACCATGTAGCTCAAATTCCTTGCAGGTAGCGAAGACAAAGAGTTGTCAGATATCAAGGCAGGTTGAATTGCCCCCCCTGGAGAAGCCCAGGTGTCTCAGGTGAGTGCACAGGAGTCACAGCCATCCTGTGGCCTCCTGGGAGGTGTGAACAAGTGTGTATTAAAGGCTGAGAGTCAGAAAGAAAAGGCAGAGGAACATGTTTGCTGTGCTATCCTTGAGCAGTTACCCATATCCTGTGTGCCTTCCACTGCCTTGCTCAATCAACTGTGGATGGCTCACTGTGGATGTGGCTTTAACCCTTCTTTCTTGATTTAGTCCCAGGAAGGTCAGGGGACCTTTGTGGAGTCATTACAGTGATGTTTCCATGGTGTGGAGACTACATGCAAAACCTTCCAGGAGGTCCTCTGAGGGCTCCTGTGAGACTGTGCTGGGTAAATGGAGAGGGGCAGGAAGCCCTGGAAGGGCTCATGTGCAGTGCTGTGTTGGCAGCTGCCCAAGAATAAGCCAGAAATCTCCTGTGTCACCATTAAACACATTTAAAAACCATGTCTAGGCCAAAAATATAAAAACCTCACCTCTCATTCCAGAGAATGTCTGGAGCCCCAGACTCTTCCTTCAATTGTGCATGCTGATTTTTCTTTCAAATCACTTGCGTGGCTGTGCTGAATTTTGGGTGGGTGATGAAAATTTAATCTGTGTTAAACAAGCTGCTTTAACCTGGCAGGTAAATGAATGCATTCTTAACACAATCTCATGTATTTCCTTAATGTGCCTGCTTTATAATAGAAGCATTTAATTTTTTTCTAAGTTTCGTGATCCAGCCTTGTATAAAAACATTCTGCTTGGGTGCCCCAGTCACGTTCCATCGGGCAACATAGCACAGACTGACTTAGTGGCATTTTGGTGGATAATATGACAAATTTTTTTTCCTTTTAAGAAAAAAGTATAACCAAAACAAACACGAGAATGAACACTACAAAAATCGTGTCATGCTGAGAGAAAACCCCTGCAAATACACAGTGATAAAGGTCAGGATCTGTTACTCAGGTCTTGTTTGCCAGTGAAAATACCATGTTAATGTGTGGCTGTCAAAAACCTAAGCGAGCCAAACAGACTTCTGACAAATAATTTTGCCAGTTCTCACAAGCTGAAAAGTGCCTTTTTTGCCTCTCTTGTCTTTTGAAATGTTTCCCTCCTGCTTACAGATGTGCAGAGAGAAAGAGTTAACAGAGGTAGTAAAACAAGAGTGCTGTTAAAAATAACCTCCCCCAAGCACTGCCTCGTGTGCTCTCTGGGGAAGGGACTCTGTCAGTGGTCCAAGTTCCTAACTAAACTCTCTGAATTTGAAATGCATAGAATTATTTGTTTCTCTCCTGTAAACCTTGTTTTCTTCATACATCATCAAGCAAATTAAGAGCTGTTCCCCGTTGCTTTCATGTCTTGGGCAGAATTTTATTCTGGTCTGAAGGAGATCTCAGTGAAGGTAAGAAGAATGAAGAGTTGAGTACTACACAGAGCCAAAGGTGCCTTCTTTTCTGCAATTTTTTTAAAAGAAAAAAATATATTAAAAATTAAATTTGAAAAAAATTGTCATCCTGCTGCAAAAACCTTTGAACCCTTCTCCACGTAAAAAGGCCTAACAGGCAAAAATACTCTACAACTTCCTCTCAAGAGCTGCTAGCCTGAATGAATAGGATCTTGCATTTTAAAGCTGGCAGAGCTTAGCCTTAAGGAAACTATATTTTTCAATCCAAATATATCCATATTCTTGTTTACTCACCCAGAGCCTGTTCAGTGGGGAATTATCTTGTTAAGATCTAATCCTACACAGTGCATGTGAGGTTGTAAATATATGGCCGTTTAAAATTCAAATACCGAGTGTGGAGGTCATTGTAGGAAACTCCTGTGCCTCTGCAAGTGTGAATGAATTATCAGGCTGTTTTCCTGCTTCCCTCACTGTTCACATTACTGTTGGCAGCTAGGAGCTATGCCATAAGTTACCTTTATATTAGCATTGAAAATTCCAAGGCTTTTTAAAACCAAAATATTTCTTTTACTCCCGGTTTTATTTGTGGGCTGTAAAAACAGTGTGTCTGTCGGTCAGACACTGGTTCAGATTTTAGAAATCTGGTAGGTTGAAGTGTGGTTGGTGTAGCATGGTTTGAATAAAGGGAGAGAACATGTGGATTTACCACCTCTGGGGTGGGACTGGTTGTTTTTATGTGCCCCATCAGACCTGTGCCAGGTGGCTGTGGTGCTTGGATGGGTGGAAGTGTTCAAGAAACACATCCTTGGAGGTGTCCAAGGAGCAACTGGATGTGGCACTCAGTGCTCTGGGCTGGGGCTGGGTCACAGGTTGGATGATGACCTTGGAGGTGTTTTCCAACCTTGATGATTCTGTGCTTCTGAGGGGATCTTGTGCTGCAGGGCTGTTTAGCAGAGGATGCTCCATCTGCAGAGAGATGTAGCAGGGGCAGGTGCCTTGTGAGCTCCAGCTCCTTCCCAAGCCTCCTGCCCCTTCCTCTTGCTCCTGCACAGCCTGGGGTGGGCTGTTTGCCTGGATGTCCACCTGGAAGAGTTTGAAAAGGATGTTTGCAAAGAAAGACTTTACAGCAGTAAGTCCTCTCCTGGTGGTGAAGTTGTTCTCTCGGGGAAGGGGAACATTGGATGTTGTAGCTGAGTAGTGGAGCTACTGGATAAAATATCACAAGTTTCTGGGCTCTGGTGGTAAAACCTACACACTCCTTTCCAATTCCCAGTTCTGCTGCTGTTGAGGAATGGATATCACACACGGGAGCTCTTTGGTCTGTCTCAAAGGAAGGTTTATTCCTGCTACAAAGTCTGTGAAAGAGCTTTGCCAGTGGTGTAACAGCTGTAGCTCTGGGTCTCTGGTGACTCCACTTGCCTTTTTTCTTTGCTTGATTCCTGTTTGCCATTGCAATCCCCACCTGGTTCTCTCAAGAGTGACAGAAATTTGTGTGTAAGCTGGTTGGCAGCACATGAAGCTGTTTTGGTAAAAGAAAGGGGAAGTGTAACACCGGCTTGTTAACGTGGTTCACTAAGTTCGTGTGACAGCTGCACCTCCTGCTACCAACAACAGTTTGCCCCCTCTTCACCCTGAAAATTTAAAAATGCTCCTGATTTTTCTTTCAAGTTATCTGGTATACAGGACTTCCCACTCAGGGTAAGACACAGGAGAGCATGCAAAATTGATGTTTTCGCTTCTTGCCAGACTCTCTAACTAAAAAAGGTTTCCCCCGGCAGTTTTATCTCCAGATATTACCACCCCATCCCCTAAAATTGTAAAAACTCCTGTGTATTTGCTATCTTGTGGGCTTTTGCCAGGTTTCAAAGGGAGTTTCTATTTGCTGGGCAGGTTGTCGATAGAACATAAAATATGAATGAAATTGTAATTTTATGGCAGACACTGGAGCTGTAACTGTCACGAGCCCTCTGTGTCCTCCACATCCACATGAAAAAGCAGTCTCTAAAAACATTTGGTTGACTTTTTTATGTTCCAGTTAAGCCAGGAAAAGATCCTCAAAATTATGAACATGGTGAAAAATAAAGAAGTGAGCATTGAGGGGGCTTTGCATTTGGCACAGAAGGAGGTGTATGCTGAGAAGGTAAGGTCACTCCTCTGATCTATTTTGCGAGATATTCAAATGTATGAGCACTAGGAGCATGTCTGCACTGTTTTCAAAGGTACAATCCCAGCTTGTGCAAACACATGCACTCAAGTTTCTAACAAAACAGGACATGCACTGATGGCTGATGGTACCTGTGTCCTATGTAATGGATATTCCGTGTAGATGCTGCAAAAGGGGCAGGAACACCTTCCACTATCCCAGGTTGCTCCAAACTCCTTCCAACCTGGCCTTGAACACTTCCAGGGATGGGGCAACCACAATTTCTCTGTTCCAGGGCCTCACCACGATCATAGTGAACAATTTCTTTCCAATATCCCATCTAACCCCACTCTCTGTCTGTGTGAAGCCATTTCCCCTTGTCACTCCGTGCCCTTGCAAATAATCTCTCTCTATCTTTGTTAATGTGATTAAAAAAGGCCAGGAGGATGCTGCTGTGCATCTCCATGTGCAATTCTTCTCCAGAGCCTCTAGAGCTGTTTAAACACTGTCTGCTGAGGGACATTTCACCTGAGAATGTGTTTGGATTTGAGTGGACAAACATTAGCCCAGAGCTGGATGTATGGCTGATTTCTGTTCTGTTTTTCAGGACTCCCAGGATTTGTTAACTGGATCACAATTTAACTTCATTATCTACAAATACAAACACTATCGGTGGCAGAAGCGAATTTTGCAGGTAACTTGAAAGATCATCCCTTTTGGAGCAATACATAAAAATATATTACGCTGAAGTTGCTGGGTTACTGTTAGTGGACAGCTTAAAAAAAATCCTGTGGTTCAGCAGCCCATCAGAGAGGTGTAAGATAGTGAAAAAAATCTCTACTTTTTACGCCAGAAGTATTCTGAGGGTAATATCTGACATTCCCTGTACTGAGGCCCCTGGGAGGGCTGTGGAGGGGACCTGATGATCTAAGAGGTTATTTCACCACTGCAAAACATGAGTTGTCCCCAGGGTGATGGATGATAATGGGCTCTGCCTGGGAGTTGTTCTTGTTAACTACCAAGAGTAAATGCATACAAGTGATGTAAACACATCTAAATATCTGTGCCTTTTGACAGGACATCACTTCCACTGCACCCACTAAAACCTTGGGAAGAAACATTCCTGGGATACTCAAGGTGCATTTGGCAGACTGTGCAGTTTGTCTCTGGTTACTCTACCCTGTGAATCGTTTTTTGGATATCATGAACCCTTAAGGCTTTATTGACTTGCATGATATTAAAGCAAACTTGTGTTGACAACACCTGATGGTGATTTGATTCCATGAAGTCAGGGACAAAGGATTCATGTTGTTTCCAGGGACCTGGATTTCACTGAGTTTTCCTGTAGTTTTGACAAAATTTAAAAATGAGCAAGTCCAAATCACATATGTTAGAGAGTATTTTTTATTTACTACATCTAAACTGTAGAAAGTATAATCTCCTTATTTCCCTCAACATCCACCACGTTTTGGAACTAAAAGATTATTTCTTTAGACATAAAACTGATGGAAAAAATGGAGAGAGCTGTAGTAGATGTGCAAGTTATCAGTCTGTGAATCTGGAGTCATTTAATTTCAGTTCTCTGGTTTAACAGCAGCCTTCAAAAGTCAGAGATAATAATGAGAATGGTTCTGCTTTGAAGGTTTCCAGCTATAAACAGAAGGCAGGGAAAGGCCACAGTGTGGGCATTTGGTTGGCATGGTCTGCACATGCAAGTTTTTAACCCTGCAAATGTAGGTTGGGCAGTGGAAGAAGAATGATCTCATCTTGAAGCAAACAATTTTTAATTGTTATAGCCATGAAACGGCACTAAAGTAATTTTATTGGCTATTATTACTCCATTTATTTGTACACATATATATGTGTAAAAATAGGGAGGAAGGGATTTTTTTAATTGGGCAGGTAGTAAGAGAACACAGGGGAAATGGTTTTAAACTAAAAGAGGAAATTCTTTACTCAGAAGGTGGGGAGGCCCTGGCACAGGTTGCCCAGAGAAGCTGTGGCGGCCCCTGGATCCCTGGAAGTGTCCAAGGCCAGGTTGGACAGGTCTTGGAGCAACCTGGGATAGTGGAATGGCAGGGGGTGGAATGGAATGTTCTTTAAGCTCCTTCCAACCCAAATAATTCTGTGATTCTGTGACAAAAAACTCTGTGTTAGGTAAGATCTAAATCAACACACAGTAATATTTATATCAGAAAGTAATCCCTCAACAGTCCCCTCTTTTCCTGCTGTGGAAGCTGCTGCTATAACCACCCTCACAGCATTTCAGTGCTGGGGCACAGGCTGAAGGAGTAACTGAACCTCTGCTGAGATGGTCCTGCCATTAGTTCTTGCTACCACTGCTGCTGAACTGGAAGATTGTGCACTGGGTTGTATGAGACAAGGGGAATTTAAAAAGCAATGTTTCAGAGTGATAAATTGATACATATTCATCAAAAGAGACAGGGAAACACAGCTGCATGGAATATCTGTTTTGTAACTAAAACAAATATTGTATTACCATACAATGGTAATTCCATCTTGATGATGGAATGTCATTTTTTTATCCTATTTATTCTGAGCTGGTCCTTTCCCTAAATGCCTTTGCATGGTGATATTGGGATGTTGTCTTTGCCTTTCTGTGACAAGAAGCGATGGAGTCAAGTAATGAAGAGTCTTCTATTCCAGATTGATTTCAACACAAGGACCATTTTTAACATTGAAAAAGGAACTATTAAGAAACAGTTCCCTTTCTCTCAAGTCAAAGCCTGTGAAGACACTGAAAGGAGGCGCTTCAGCATTGTGTTTCATGGGCGACAAGATTATGAGCTGGAAGCTGTGTCTCTTGATGATAAAAGGAAGGTAAGTTTTTACAATGCCATGGACAGATTGCTATAAATAACAGTTGATGTGCTGGTGGTACCCAGCAGGTCCCAATCATTGTTATGCTGTGCTTTGTGCGAGCAAAAAAAGGAGGAATGTCTTTATTCCGTGTGTGTTTGTGCTCAGAACAAAGGGAACGGGAGTTCAAGATAAAGTTTTGGCCTTAGGATTTGGGCACAGTTCACTGGGACTGGAGATGTAAAGCCAGCTCAAGACATGATATGAAAGTGGATGCAGTTCTGCAACTACACCTTGAATGTAACCCCTCTGAGAGTGGATGAAAACAAGCAAAAAAACCCTGATGATGTGCACAGTTGAATCTTAATTGAAACTTTCTAAGCACTTTTTATTCTCTGCATAAGGTACTTCTTAAAATGCCTGCTTTTAATAATGAACAAGGTCATCCAGATGCTGTGAAAAGAAGACCTAGTAATTAATCTTTCACCATCAAAAGAAACTGAAATGACACAATTAGCAGAGGAATGAAGTCTAGGTACAACTAATTGTTTAATTAAATGATGCAGTGCTGCAAGATTTTGTATGAGCTCCTTCACTTTGGGATTTCAGCTCCTTTTGAGTTGTACTGAAACATGAGAAAGTCAAGTCATGAGCTTTTCACCTGAATGCAGGTGCCCAGGGGTGGGCAGCTCTTGGAGTTTGTGTCGTTGAATCCATCCTGCACAATTTAGGCTGAGGTACAAAATTTAAACCTCATGGAAGAATTTGCATCCAAACTTCTGCTGTGACTCATTCTTAGGGGGCTTTTTTTCCCCAGAAGGATTAATTCCCTGCAAAACCCAGCGATTCACCCCACATGCAGAAACCTTTCTTCCAGATGAGCAGAACCTCGTGGTTGATTGGCCTAATTTTGTTCAAAACAGATTATTGAGCAGAAGAGCTCAAAAAGGAACATGTATTTAGTAATAAGAACATCAGATATGGCCCTGTACAGCACAAAGAGCTCTTTAAATTCACACCCACCTTAATCCATAGTATTTTCCACTGTAGCCAAACCTTCCTTTTGTACTGGGTTTGTCTGAGGTTTCCAGCTTAATCAATCAGTTGCTACTTGGACTTGAACTGATCTGAACACTTTGTCCTGGATTGCTTTGTGTATGAGCTAAGAAAGTAAAGTTAAGTTTTACAGTAATCCCTCCAAAATAAAATTGTATTCTCCTTACACTGGTGGGTTTAGAATTGTGGGCATAAAGCCAAATTGGAGTTTAGTAGTTTAGCATAAATTACTTATTTTGTGTTCATTTGTTTTACCTATTTGGCTGCAGCTTAGAGTGTTGTCTGTCATCTTTGGACTTGAAAAATCCAACTATAGATGTCTTATTCAAGGGAATTAACATGGAAAATATTCTCTCTCTGCTGCCACTTTTTATCTAGATAATATACCTCCTGAGCAGAGTTTTACAGAGCAATTCATACAAGAGACCAGTGGAGTCCTGCTCTGGGAGACCTGCAGAATGGGATGTGATACATGAAGGGCTGCTGGATTTGCAGCAAAACACTTTTGCATCCACTGAATGGGTGAAGTATGAACTCTGGGCTGTGGATTTCGTTAAAATTTCTGATAAATGCATTAGGTCTTTAATTTGCTGATAATGAGTTAATTATTTAATTGCTTTTGAAAGTTAAAAGGTGGATGGCAAATCTGCACGAGATGGAAACATTAAAGTAAACTTTCAGTGCAATAGTGGTCCCAACAAACCAAAGTTCTGGTTGTGCTGGAGCCTGCTGGGTCCATCAGCAACACAAATCTGTAATGGTGATGGTGCTCAGAGGGATTTAATGGTGGGATTTTATGTTTATATCTTTATTTTTCCCTCCATTCTCGGTAATAAGGACAAGGAGAGACTGGAGAAGTATAGGAGTACTTCTAGAGAGCATTGACTCACATTGGCCAAATGGCTGCCCCAAAATTCATAATTCCTTCTCATAATGTTGTGAACTCCCCTCCTGGGGGGTGACCAGCCATGGAGGCCTGATGGGGTGGTGGGATTGGAGACAGGAATCATTATTCAGTAGGAAATGGGCTGTCATCACCATTTCAGCCCCTAAACAATCCCAGATCAGCACAGCTTTTGCTTCTGCTTGTTCTGTTGCTGGATTAGTGAAGCAGCTCCAGTGGTTTTACACAGTTTGCTCCCCATTCCACAGACAAACCACCCTTCCCTGAGCCAGCTCCTAAAATACCTGGAAACTGCTTATGCTATCAAAGGAGAGAAAGGGGGGGGGGAAAGTCTGTCTAGCAAAACAAAGGAAAAAAATTTAACATTGTAATTATCTGCATGGAGCAATTGTCTCAACACCCTCCACAGAAAATGATTTTAATTGTTTTTAAAAGGCTACGCCTGCATGTCTTATAAACACTACCCTCAAGTGTGTCCAGAATTTGTTACCTTGCAACAGTTAACAAGTTTGTTAACAAACAAAAATTGATTTTTATTTATCTTGTGAAGCAAAGCCCTTGTTGCTTTCTTCTTTATATTAATCCTCTCTCTTTTTTCCTTTTTTTTTTTGCTTTTTTTGGCCAAGTAAATGATGGTGGAAGCATCTGGAGATCCGATTAAACTATAAGTCTCTGCCTTAAAGAAAGGAGAGATCAATATAACTGCCAGCTCCATTAAACAATTCTTATCACTTTGACTGTTTATGTGGGAATAGATGCAATTTATATTTTATGTTTAATTCTTCTGGAGCAGCTAAACTTATTTAAATTCCTCATAGAACACCTTAATCAACCAGCCACACCTAAAGAGAGAACGGAGGAAAAGGAAGGTTTGATAGAACTGTCAGAATGATAAAGAAAGGCAGAAATCCTCAAGAAAAATGAGACCACAAATGCTTAAATAAGAATAAAACCCATATACAGTAAAACCCCATCTGTTGTTGAATGGGGGACCTTTGTTTTGAGCAGCAGAACAGAATCCCAGAGGGGAGACCAAAGCAGAAGGTTCTGCTGAATTACAAGCTGTGTATGGTCAAGGCAGTGTTTTTCCAGGATTAATTTATCCTTTAAGTAGGTTTTCCCCAAATTTTGGCACGGTCATTTCTGATGGAAGCCCTTGAGCCTTGTCCCTTTCCTGCCCAGTGACTCGTGGGACCAGCTTTAGTTCCCATGGAGTAATAGGATTTTTGGGAGGGAGGGATATTGGCCTATATGACTGGGAACTAAATTTGGTGACCTGTTTATAGCCTGGGGGGCAGTGAAACCTGGAAGACACAGAAGCTCTGAAGCCTTGTCTTATTATGCACTGCTCAGTCACACAGGGGATTCCTTTAAAAGCTCATAGCCCAAGTGATCCACCCTCCCAAACAAACAAGAGGAAGAAGTGGAGTGGGAGGGACAGAGCGTGGCTAAAAAATTAACAGGACTTGGGTGATTTTTAGTTGATGGTCAGATCTTTGTTTCAGCTCTCACTGGGCATGGCAGGCTGTTCACAGTTGGTGTCAGTTTACTTATGTGTCAGATAAGAATAAGAAGCCCTCAAATAAGAATATCTCAAAGCCTTTATGCTTTAGCATTGATACTTTTTGCCTGTCCCACGGAAGATGCTGTAAAAATGTGGATATTTGTTGATTTTATAAAGTGCCTTAACAAAATAAGGCTTATGTAACTAAGTAGTCAATGAAGAATGAGCTGTATGTCCATTCCTTGTCCTTCAGGTACTTGGTGCAACTACGTGAAGGAGAATTGACTTTATATTGCATAGGTCTGGGAGGAAAGAACAGCACTGCAGACCCTGGAGCAAACACAATTAATTTGTCAGGTGGGGATGTGAGTGTCAGCAAGGAGAATGGATGCAGCACCTTTTCAGTTCAGACCAAAGATCACAATTATTTGTAAGTATAGTTGGTAATTAATAATTTATTAACGCAGAAATACCGAAAACAAGGTCAAGCAGCAGGGGGCCTCAATGTTTCAGAATAAAATAACAATACTGGAGAAATGAGGCCGTCAGAATTATATAGATTCCTGCTCCCATTGCTTTGCAGTGATTTGATGAGGATTTTCAGGAGGAATCAAAAGTGCCACATCATGGAACTGAGAAGATAAGTTGAAATACTGCCCACAGCAACTTGTCTAGTTGTCATGTCAGGAGTCAGGGAAGAGGAGATGCACATTCAGCTTGGTAGGACAGATGTGTGAGCAGGTTCTGCTTGTGCAACAAGCACAGCGAGGTGTAACAAGCTGTTCACTTTTCCCCAGGGTAGAGAGGAGGAATTATGAGGTAACTGCACCACAAAAAGTCAATATATGGCAAAACTTCAGCTCTCTAACCTTAGACACAAAAGCAATTAACTTTGCCTGAAAAGGTCAGAGTTAGCAGCACTGGGCTGCTTTGACAAGTGAAGGTGCTGAACATCATTCTGCTTAAATCAGAACTATCTGTGGCTGTGTTAGTCAGCATGTTATTTACACTGTCTTGTGTTTATATATGACATTCTTAAATTTCAGGTTTCGAATACCCTTTACTGTCCAAAACAGCAGGCCAGAGGATGTTGGCAAGCTCCAGAATGAATGGGTGTCTCTCCTAGAAAGGTACTGTCAGCTGGGCCAGGGGGCCTCCCCACCTCAGGAGGAATCTCAAGGGTGCACCTCCCCTGAAGCTGATTATGAGGAATTTATTGTACCTCTGAATGAACAGAAAGAGGAGACTCTGCACTTTGGTGTGAGTTCTGCAAGGGCCAGTCTGAACAAGTCTCCAAGTCCTCAGACAAAGCCTGCAGAGGGGGAAGCAGCCCCAGCATCACCATCTCTTCCACTTCCCATAAGTAGGGCAGAGGTACCACCAGCCCCTCCTGCCCTTCCACAGCCCTGCAGCCTCTCTCCAGCAGCAAAGAGAACCAAAGCCTTTCACTGGGATGTTGTTCCTTCTGATAAGGTGAGGATGGAACTGATGGTGGCTGTTTAAGAAAAAAGAAATTGTATGTATTGTGTTACATCTACAGTTCTAAAAGCACAGCTGTGCCACAAAATGCCCTTCTCTGTGTTTGGATGGAACAAAGTGCCTCTGTTCTGGCTTTCTGTTTACCCTGTGTCACTCCTATCTTTTTAGATTCACAAATCTGTCTGGGGATCACGTGACCCATGTAAGAAGAAAGTTGATGTATCCAGGCTCTGTGAACAGTTCCAGATCCAGGACACAGCAGTATTTTCGGGCAATGAGCCTTCAGTGAATCAGCACATCATGTTAGACCGAAAAGTCGCACATAACTTCAGTAAGTGTGTTGATAAGAGCTGTGTCCTCCTCTCTGAGCTGGGCTGGACACTGCACACATTTTCTCTTTGTACTTCCTGCCATTCAACAGGCAATGAGATGAACTTCTGGATCGTGTTTTAATTCAGTGCCCCTCTACTGATTTATAAAAGAAGACCTCATGGCTGAGTTGCTCCAAATGTGGTCCTTAATGATGTAGAGGTGAAGCCCAAAGCTGCTTCTCTTCTTGTACAAAACATGTTGAAGTGCCATTGAGCTGTGATGTTGTTGTCTTAGAGCAGACATGTGAAATCATGTGTGTCACCTGTGAAATCAATGTAAGACTGACTTTAGAGGCTTTTCAAATTTTGTGGGTTGTTCAGGTAAAGAAAAGTCAACAGGAGCAGGTTGGGAACCAGAAGTTTGAGTGCTGTGCTCAGTCTCTCTCCTGCATTGAGGTCAAGAAATTCATGTAGGTGTAGGTGGGTTGGCATAAGAGGCCTTTGAGGCAGCTACAAGCCAGGTTTCAGGAATTCTTGGCCTTCCTCTGGCTGAGGGCTCAGGCTGTGAATGACTGTCTTGAACAGGATCCTTCCCTCTCATATCACAGGATTCTACCAAAGACCTGACCTAGAACAGTCTTTCACAGCTAATGGAGTTCAACACATAGTTCTGCTCTTTCTAATAAAATGATGTAAAGGTCTTTCAATCCTTTTAATGAGAATTGGTAGATATTAAAGGAGCAAGAATAATTGTTCTTCAAGGACCACTCTGATTTCTGTTACAGAGACGGCTTTCCAAAAAAGCTCTATAACCTAGAGATGTTTCAAGAAGTGTTACATGTGTAAAGAATTTGGGGCAGTTAATTTTGAAGTTTTAATGATTTCTTCTCTATGAATATTAATAAGAAAGAATGTATTTTGGAGATCATGTAAAGTTTTAATTGGGAACTTTAAATGGGGATAACTTGGAATTATTGCATTCCTTGACTAACAATTTGAAGGGTTAAAAGGAAAAGAGTGATACAGAAGTGCTGTTGCAGATAAAAGGATCTTGTAATAGCACTTTTATCTACTAAATGATTGCAGTTTCTTTGAGGAAACTTCTTTCTTTTGGTTTGCAAATAGCACCATTCCTCCCTTTGATCCTGTTCCTCTTACAACTATTTTTTCAATGGGACATTCTACATCCATTTCTTAATCTTATCCTTAAAGTTCCATCAGTGAGATTTTGGGCATACACTTATTATAATGGATGTTACTTAGATCAAAAGTTAATTTGATCCTTAGAATTCTGATTAATCTTCCTGCAATGCTGCAAACTGCAGTTCTTAAATTAACAAATAAAAGGATGAAGCTCCAAAATTGCCAGTAGGTTAAAATTTGTGGAGAATTTGAGTGGGTTTCTGAACACAAGAGAGAAATGAGAGTTCTGAGAGTAGATCTATACACTGAATTTGAGTCTAATGTGTGAGAAAATACAAATAAAAGCTAAGTTATCTCGTGGGTTCTTGTAGACAAAATAAATTTCTGCCATACAGAGAACAGGTATCAGGAAGAAACAAGAAAAACATCCTCAGATTTCCAATGCAAAGTTTTGGGAGACATTATAATGTATATGTTAACCCAAGAAGATGAGATCTAATGGATGAAAAACTGATTTAGGAGTCAAAATATCAGCTTCTGTGTCTTGACTGGTGCCTGTTTCTCTGTATGAGATCCACTTTCCCACATAGTATCCTTATTTTGCCTGGGAAAATACTTTGACAAAGTCTGATGACTAGAATTTCTTCAGTGTCTTGATATCAGTTACTGAAAAAGTTCAAGACAATTTTAAATGCTTTCTAGACAGGTTGTGAAGCTTTTAAAATCAACATTTTACTGTTATGGTGATTCCCCACCACTGAAGACACAGTTTAAAAGACATAGGGAAGCAATAGATATGAGGCATAAAAAGCACAAGAAGGAAAAAAGGAAAGTCCTGCCAGGCTTAGCACTAAAGCTCAGATCTTATAAAAAAATTCAGAGGGTGTAGAGTGTGTCAGAGGAAGAATAAATGGTCTGTACTCCACTGGCCAACAGTCTCTAGAAGCATTAACAGCTGCCTCGGGCCACAGCAAGTTCCTCTAACCTGAAAAACTCTGTTCCTTTATAGAATTGAATTAAAAAGAAGGTAAATCATACAAATCCTTCCCAAATTGTCCTTCACAATCCCTTTATGCTGCTCAGAGGAGTTCTGGTGTAGCAGAGACTCCAGGGCAAGTCTCGTGCCAACAATGGGAAGCATTTAAACATTTTCCCTTTCTCTGCTGCTGCCCTTTGTTCACTTCCTTGTGATTCTTTTTTTTTTTACCTCCATCCTTCAGTACCAATGAGGGAGACAGACAGTAATTAAAGAATAACTGGCAAGAAAAAGTGGTCTTTTTGGGAGCAACATCCTTACAAATTTTTACTTGTCGAAATGATGACCTTCACCTCTTTGGGGAAGAGGCATCTTATTTGCATTTTTCCTGTCATAATGCATGTTATGAGCCAGCCCTGTATCAGCACAGAAGTCTTAAACTTTACAAAAACATCAGATTTTAGGATTTTAGGAAGAAGTGAGCACTTCTGTTTCCTAGTTTGCCTTCATTTTGGGAGTAAGTTTTCTTGCTGGAAATTAAACAAAGCAAGTAAACAAAATCAAAACAAATGGAAAAATGTAATTTAACGTTCAAAATATTGTGCCAAGTTATTGTACTGTTATGTGGAAAAAAATGATTTTAACTGTTGAGCTGAGTACAAGAGAAATACATATGAGCAAGTATTGAGTACCTTCCCAAAATGGTATCTTAATAGTTCTGTCTTAAACATTGACTATCTTATGAAAGAAATTTGGTTTTCCTTGACTTCTATTATGTAAATTTAAAGAAAATACAAAGATTGAGTTATTGCTTTAATGACAGCAGCTGCTAAATATTTTGGTTTTTTTACTTTTTTTCCTGTTTGTTTGTTATGGGTTTTTTCTTTCTTTCTTCCTTTTTTTTTTTTTTAAATCTGAGAAGTACAGATGAGATATTTTGGTGATTTTCCTTCCGAGTAATCTAAGAATCCTTTTCCTCCAGACATTTTTCTTAAAAGTTTCCGTATCAAACCAAGTGAGCTGAAAGAAAAACTGTACATCATACATGAGGAGAGTGGTGGACTCACAGATGAGCAGATTACAGCACTAAGGAGGTAATTTTGGGGGTTCAATTGCTTGTTTATGTTATAAGGTACCCTTTGGAGAAGGCAGAACCTTCTGCAAATAATGTGAAGCTCATGGATGGACTGAGACATTGGATTTATCCTGACTGTGGAGATCAGGTTGCACACAGAAATCAGCCCTTGCAACTGAGATTTTTGAATACAGCCCCAAAATATCACTTTTCCTCATCTTTGTAGGAAAGGGGGTTGCAAAGTGATGGCAAATCCACCATGATTTTGTGAACTAGTTACAAAGAGCAGAGTTGGGAAAATAATAAGTTGTGTCAGTGAGCAGGTGTTGACTTGAGAAGACTTTACAGCATCTCTTACTACAGCCTTACAACCTATTGTGGGATGAGAAATGAAAGATTTAAGACTGGTTTGGAGATAAGGAAGGCAGACAAGTGTTAAAGGAACTTTATGAGGTGATGGAGTGTTAAGAATATCAGTATGTCAGTGGCAGAGATTTGTGGGTTTAAAGAAGAATGCAAATTTCTGTATCTTTAGCAAAACTGAACAGATTTCAGGAGTGTAATCAAACTACATGAAATTCATAGGAACTGCATTGTATCTTTTTGAATAGTTTAAGACGTAGAAAGAAAGGAAAGAAGTGGGATCCTAGAGTATTATCTGTTATACATCCCAGTCCCCATGTGGTACTTGGACCACTTTAATAAACATATTCACACACGAAAACTTGATGTGAAACTGTTTCTTCCTTCAAAATGAGAAAAGATTAGAGTGTTTTGCTAAAGTGAGCTGGGAAAAAGGTGAGGCCGACAAAGAAAGTGAGGAAGTAAATAATTGATGTTTCTACTTCTCATGGAATCAGTTTAATCTTGGCCTTAAAATCCTGATCCAAATCAGTACATCAGAGGCAATTTTAAAATGATCTGCAGGATCATGTGAGCACTTAGGAAGTGTTGTGAGCACAAGAAGACACAGCTAACATAGAATTAATGTTATTCTGTGACATGACTTGTGCAGAGCTTGCCTGAAGTGTGAAGGGACATGGGCAGGATGCTGAATATTTACATATTTTTTATGTCCCAGTGTTCTGGAGGACGTTTCCTTGCTGCCCCAGTGCTTTACCAGTTACACCCCACAGTGGTGCACAGTTGTGAGCTGGGGAAAGGTGCATGGCCCCACTGAGGGTGATGGAGCTCTGCTGCCATTCAAAAACTGATCTGAAAGACTCCTTCAAACAAGAAACCTCTTCCTGCAGCACTGCAGGTTCAGTCCAGGATCTCCACGCTGCTGAAACCAGTGTGACACCACTGAGCTCCCTGATTTACAGCATCTGGGCTCCTTGCCATCAGATAATAATAGTAATAATGATGGCAATGAAGCTTGAAAGATCCTGTTTTTTTTTTCCTTGAAGTCTTTCTTTGAGACCAATAATGCTGAGGAAATTTTTCTAGCACTGGAATATGTAAGAGATATTGGATGCTGTATTTGCTGTATGTTATATAGCTTCAAGGATTCAAGCTATGGGTTCAAGGATTCTGTCCCTGAAATTCTTATTTATTGCCAAAATCTAGGAATGCACATACAAATCTTGCAGTAAAAGGGAGATAATTTTTTTCCACCCCAGCAGTTTTAAGTGTGAGTGAAATAAATGAGATGCATCTCAGAATTAAGACTCGGATTTCCAAGTGGAAAATCAAAGGAGCAGACAGACATTCTCATGGAACATCAGCACTCCCAAGTCTCTCTGGTGCAAAGCACTGTGGTGGATTTAGCAGGACACTTAACACTTTTGAAAACCTTTCCACTTGATTTTGGTGTCATGGTGGAAAACTTTACCTTTGAAAACTGTGGCCTCCAGTTGGTGGAGAACCTGTGGTCAGGACAGGAGTTCAAACAGGATAATCCAGGGCTGGAAAATCCCTCTCTGTGCAAATTGTTCCTGTCAGACTGCCTGAGCCTGAGCAGGAAGTCAAAATTCTACTATTGTAGAATGAAAAAAATATTTAAAGTCAAACCCAAGATTACATTTTCAAGACTGTGACCTGTGAGCAGAATGTTCTGCTCATGTGTCCAACGGTGGGATATTATTAGAAACTTCAGGACTTAATTTGACACGGAAACCTTTCCATAATTCTCTGAATGATTCTTTATCCTGACGTCTTAAAATCAATAGGAAAGCACTCCTTGTCTCTCTGAACTTAATTTTTTTCAGAGCAATGGGATTTTTTTCATTGTGCAAATTCCATTAGAGTTGCATTCATGTACAAAGATGTTTATGGAATGCATTCACATATTCTTGTGCTTCCTTTTTCATGGCTTCCATTGTTCAGTGCTTTAAGCTTTAAACTTCCTAGATAATCTACTGGTTTTGTTTTATATACATAAGACATCTAAACAATTATATGGAATATCAGACATTTGATTAAATGAAGATATTTGCTGTCAGTTTTTAAAAATACATTGTTTGAATTTGCTTAAAAAGTCAAACTTTTTTCAGTGATAAACACCCTTTCATTTGCCAACAGTTAACTTATCTTTAAATGAGAATTCAATTATTTCTTTTTGATAAAGGGTGAAAAAAGTACTATTTTGTAATCTGCATTAATATAGACTTAATAATTCAAACCCTAGCCATTATTGAATTGAAATGTCAAATTACTGACAACAGTAAAAAAAAAATCTTACATCTTGTCCTGTATTTAACATTTAAAATATTTGCTTTATTTTTTCCATTTCTGAATAAATCACTTTTAATGAAAATGTAGAGCTATCCCCATGAATGTTTAATCACACTTGCTACAAATTTAGTAGGTTTTTTGAACATAAAGGGAAGATAGACCCGAATACTTATTTAAGATTCTTTACACTCCTTCTCATATGTTTGCTGTAACATCGATTTCATTTTGCTGAAGATATGCTTTGAATTCCCATAGTGAGAACTCAGACAGGCAGGAAGATCTCCAAAGGAGAACTGTGGTGATGTGTTTGTTTTTCCAAGTGGAGTCAATATTTGAAGACATCAATTTTCTAAAAATCTGTGGCCCTGGAGTTCTGACCCTGGAGAATATGTTCTGTGGCCTCGTGCAGAAGGAAGGAAGTTGTGGGTCTGTGTTATGTGCTGTCATTATTTGAGCAAGTGAAAAAACCTGCAAAAACAATGGTAAAGAAGATGACTGTTCCCAAGGATTGGTGGGGTGTCTGTGCAGAGCCAGGAGTCCCACTGATTAAAGAATTAACATGCAACACATAAACCACACTAAATGTTAGAAATTCCAATGCATGGAATGGAATGATTGTTTTATGTTGCAACAATACAGAATGAAGAGGAAGAGGACATTCAATTTTAATTTCTGTTTTACAGATACATGCCAACAGCAAAAGATGCAGAAAGGTACCAGTCATTCAAAGGGTCTTGTTCAGAGCTGCACGTGGTTGACCAGTTTATGTTAGAGGTAAGAGGCATTAAAAGTCACCACATGCCATTTCTAGGGCGTTCTCTGAGGTAAAACCACTGTTGTTTGGAACTTAAATTTACAGTCTCACCCAGAATCAGCATAAGAGGATTATTCTGATAATATTATTCTGATATATATTCAGATTATTCTGATAATATATTCTAATAATCAGAAGAGAGCTCTATGGATTCTTTTGCTTCTCCAAGTCACACCCCCTCCCCTTGCTCCAAAGTAGGAGCTGATTTATTCTGAGCTAGGTTTCCAAAATATACAAGCAGAAAATTGTATGTAATTAAACATTCTTGTTCACAAGAAAGGAGTGTCGTTGATTTTAATAATGTCTGGCCCTACCAGCATATTTGAATATGCATATGCATTCAGGTGTGCATCATAGTAAATCCACAGACCTCAAATAAAATTAATAAATGAGCACAGAAATTAGGAAAACTATGGTGTAGCTGAATTGCTCAATAAATTGCAATGTATATGTGCATGTTTTGGTATAAACATGAGTTTTGATCCCTTTTCTGTTCAATTCTGTGCAGATGTGTAAAATCCCTCACTTGGGCCAGAGGTTGGATCTCCTGCTCACTGTTCGTGAGCTCCCTGAGAACATGAGAGATTTGGAGCCTGTGAGTAACATGAGTCCTTCACAGCGTGTTTGTCATCCAAATCTACCCCTTTGATACTAGAGGGCCAAATAACCTCAATGCAGATCCTTTTTTTCCTAATATGTGCATTTAACATCATCCTTATTCCACCAAGATGCAAGAAGCAGTAGCTGATGGGCCTGGCAATGGAATAGACTTCCACAAAAGAGGGAGAAAAGAACAGGAAAGGATTTTCAAATTTTTTATTTGGTGTTGTTAAACTTTCCTCTTTCTTTGACCAGTGAGAAGTGAATTTCACCATTAAAATTCAACTTCCTTTGTGGGGAGGTTCTTGCACAAGCTGAAAGAATCAAGCTGAAAGACACAGAGCAAGTTTATTTGACCAGCATCTCATAGAGAATTTCCTCTTTTCAGAAGACTGAAGGAGAGTGTTCCTCCTAAGGATTACAGGACTGAACTGAACTATCAGGAACCAGAGCTCAAGTCCCTCTCTGCCTTTTTTCAGGATGACCTAAGGGGGGGATGCAAATAAACAGTCTCATGACTGGACCTTCCTGTTCCAACCACTGCCTTCCCTGCCAGGTTCTGTCTATGCTTTGGTTCAAAACAAGTATTTTGACACGATTCTGCTTCTATGAAAATGTTTCAGAGGTTTTGCTCTCCTTCTGCATGGGAATGAAAACAAAATGTGAAAGTTCTGCAATACCAAGTTGTTATCCTTTGTCTGGTTGTGACTAAAACCATGGTGACAGTGGACAAAGCTCAGAAGGGGAGCAGACGGAAAACACAGGGGACATGCCCAGATTTCTGACCCTGCCTGGTGCACTGCCACACCTCTGCTGTCCTCCAATGAAGCCAAATACTTGAATATTTAGAAATTATTATATGCTGCACTGTTTGATTTGACTGATATTTGATGTTCATTGAATGTTCACTGATCAGTTGTCTAAGTATTTTCTCACTTATGCTCACTAATATCTGTTTCTAAATCATAGAATATACACTTAAAAATATATGGGACAACCTGAATACTGGCTTTCAGCCCTCTCCGGCCCTGAAATGTGCTATAAATGTTTTAACAACAGCTTTCAGCTCTCCTGTGTGTTTCCACCTTTCCCTGTTTTTAAGTTTGTGTGTTGGTGGCTGACGAAAAGAGGTGTGGTGCTAAAAAAATACAGATTTCCTAGTGGAAAACAAAACCACCTCTTGTGTCCATAGGCTTAGAAGGGAGGTGGCTTCCCTGGGAAAACAGAATTATATTGAGTTTGATTACAGGAAATCATTATTCTTCCTTGTGGGGAAACTGTGCTAAGAATTCTGATAACAGTTTTCAGCTGGTATAAACAGAGGGGAGGGAGGTGGAAGCTGGAGAGCCCCACACTGAGCTCCAGGCTCTACTTCCCCTGGTACCTGACATTTGGTGCAATCTGGTGCATTCAAACAGCAAAACACTTCTTCTGCAGAGGCATTTTAAGAGATGAGTTGAAGTGGTTTTGGCAGCCAGAGAGGATGTGACCTCCTTTTGGGCAGAGTCACTGTGCCAACACAGCTTTATCTGGGTGGGAGAGTTTTAACTGGTCCTTCCTAAAAACCACGTGCCTGTTTCCTTGAGGGACTTGAGTAGGAAGATGTCATTGGTGAGGTGTGACTTGCTTCAGGTGGGGACGGTGAGGCTTCGGCACAGGGGCCCCACGGATTTACCCACATTTCCAATCTGAACTGTTTTTTCCAATCTGTGTGTGTTTTTCAGCTGATAAACCAGAAGATCCAAGCCAGTAAGCAGCTGCAATCCAGCCAGAAGTTTGTTGCTGTTTTGGAGTACATTTTAGCCATTGGGAACCATCTAAACGAGAAGGCTGGAAAGGAGGTGGCGAGAGGATTTCGATTGTCGTCTTTGGCCAAAGTGAGAAAATATTTTCTTGCTGTTAAAAATCCTGTTTAACATTATATTCTTGAATGTCTGTGATAAAAAGATGCATTTCCCCATTTCAGACAGCAGCACTGGCTGGGTGGGGGCTTGGTGGCCTTCAAGTACCTGAAAGGGAGCTACAACAAAGATGGAGAGAGACTTTTTCCAAGGGCCTGGAGTGACAGCACAAGGGGGAATGGCTTCACACTGACAGAGAGGAGGGATAGATGGGATATTAGGAAGAAATTCTTCCCTGTGAGGGTGGTGAGGCCCTGATGGGGAGGTTGGTCCCTTCCAACCCAAACCATTCTATGATTCCATGAATCTAAGTGTCTTTTGCAACAAGTGGTACGTGGCCATTTTAAAGTGAAATTTCAAAAGCAGAATTTAAACAAATTAACAAATTGAAAGGGAGTGAAATTTCCTGCAATGCTTTTAACACCCCATCATTGCTTTGCTGGATGATTAATAGGGGATGAAAGTTGAAGTTGTGGTCTTCACTGTTTCCTGACAGAGATCTGCTGTACAACAAGCATCATCTAGCTCTTAATTCTCTAATTGCCTCTTCACTGACCTACCACTTGTGTGACATTAGCCTGAGTTTTCCATTAGTTTTCAGCAACCTGCTTTCCCCTCTTCATCAGAATTTGCCATCAGAAAATGCTGCTGCTGAAAATAGGGTTTTTTTCCCCCTTCCTCCATCCAGCAGTTGCAAAGCATGATATTCTTCTCCTAAAAAGTAAGAAACAGATACAAATTTCCTAGGCTGCTTGTGCCTTTAATAGTATTGTAAAATTATACCTCATCTGTAAACAGAGGAGAGAAGGATTTTTACTTTGTTTTTATAAGATATCTTTCCCATCTGGAGACTTTAATATATGAGTGAATGATTTATAAGTCTAGTGACAATTCTGAAACAAAACTTGCATTCTTTTTTTTATTATTTTTATATATATAATGCCTGTAATACCACATCTATCATAATGAAAAATGCCTACAAAATCTTTTTCTGCCACAGAGCATCTTCCCAGATTCAATTAAGGAACTTTGCTCTCTTCATGAGCACAGCACACTACTTCTGAGTGGAAAGGAATAATGACTGTGGTTGCTTGGAGGTCCAAAATCAGTTGCAATCAATTAGGATACCTTCAGTTTAAAAAGATCTGTGTGAATAAGACAGAGAAGAACAAGCAAGGTCAAGGGATATGGAAGTGGAAAGCTGATCTTAATCAAGAATATGTGTGAAACGGCAGATTGAAAAGGAGAAGTTTAATTTTGTTGTGTTCTATTCTTGTCAAACTTACTTGGGAACTATCAACAGCCCTGCTGTTCTTTTATTTATTTATTTATTTATTTATTTATTTTTTAAGGTGTAACAGCTCAGTCTGTCAATCATTGCTCTGCTTTATTTGCAGTTACCTCTGCTGAGGGGTAAAGAGAGGACGTTCACTTTGCTTCACGCCCTTGTGGAACAGATCCTCTTACATGAGCCTGATCTGGCCACATTTTCTCAGGAGTTGACAGAATTTGAAGCTGTTCCTGATGGTAAGAGGAGGGAGGGGGGAAAAATAATCAACAAATAAAAAATGAAGTCCTTCAACTTCTGTGGAAACTCCCATCCTCACGATATGAATGATATTTCTTAACATGTTTTTCTTCCTCTCTTCCTTTCCAGCTTCCATGAAGGGCCTCAGTGCTGAAGTTGATGGTATGTAAATGTGGTCTCTACATCCAGAGAAAGGTTTTCATACGTTGTGCAGTCATTTGGAACAGGCTTTCATTGCACTTCTGTAGTTTGTAAAGAGAGGTAAAGGTTCAAAACGTTGAGGTGAAGTGTTGCTATGGTGATGCTTAAGCTGCCATGTTACCTAGAAGAATTTAAAAAAAAAGGAAATATTAAAGTGTGTCCAGGTGGTTTAGAAATAATAATAATAAAAATATACTGCCCATGGTAAATAGAGTTTATCATAGAGTACAAATGTTAAGTGCTACAAATGCTCCATCAAAGTCACAGCTGTAGCAGATTCTCTGGGAGCTGGGAATGCACCAGGAGAAAATTTCCTGCAGCTCAGTCCTGGACTTCAAGAACTTCTTTGAACCAAACTGGTTTCCTTCTCTAGAAAGGAGTCCAACACCAGTGAAGTCGGGAGGAGGGAAGAGAATAAGGTTGTTCAAATGTCAGATTGGTTTGGGGAGATATTTGCAACTCACCATTGAACAGTGCCATGAGATGCCAGTGAGCTCTTTCCCCCCATTTCCCGGTGTGGGAGCTCCCAGGATAGCAGACCAGTGTTGTGCCCGGTGCCAACTGACAACGTTTCTCACTGCTGCATAGAAGAGAGTTTTTGTTCTTTTATCCTTAAAGGAACCCTGAACTTTCTGCACAAAAACCTAGGTTTGAAGTGTGTTATTTTCATGGCTAATCCCAATGCCCAGAGCTAGGAAAGGCCAGATTTATGACCACTGCATTACCATGCTATTGACCTCTTCATTACTCTGCAGCAATGTGATGTGATCACATACTACTTTTTCCATAATAAAATGTCCCTTTCAGGGTTTTACTTCAAGATAGAAAGTTAATATTCCTGGATGAACATATTATAGGCCTATATTCTCCTAAATTTTCCCTGTGTCCTAAATTAGACATTTGCAGTCCTTTGGTCACATCTGCATGCTGGTGAAATTCCTCCTTTCCTTTCTCTTTTGTTAGTTTTAAGGAAAGAATTGGAAAACATTATTCAGTGCAGGAGGCTTATTAAACCCAAGACAATCAAGGCAACACCCCAGGAATTACAGTTCTGCAAGGAACTAAAGGTAAAGTTACTACAACTTTCTTGTGGGCTGGAGGTAAATGATGAGTAACCTGTTAGTTTGTCTGAGACCTGCCCTGACAAGGGAATCAGGAGCATTTGAGGAAAAGTGGTTTTTTATTCCCCTCTGAGAGTATTTCACAGTGTAAGTTGCAGCATGGGAAGGGTTTTCAGGGTTTCTGCATCTCCTGCTTTTGCTTCACCAGATAAATGGGATGGAGTGGATGAGGAACAGGCAGCCCCATAGCGGCCCATGACAAGTATTTTGCAATAATAGGAATTTTTGAGCACATATAAATTTATAATGATTTCTTCTGCCTTCAGATAGAAGGGGAGATAGCACAGACAATCATAGAATCATTTAGCTTGGAAAAGACCTTTGAGAGCATTGAGTCCACCCATAAACCTGTCACTGCCAAGGCCACCACTAAACCATGTCCCGGGGTCTCCCACCTACATGTCTTTTGAATCCCTCCAGGCATGGTGACTCTACCACTTCCTGGGCAGCTTGTTCCAATGCCTAATAATCCCTTCAAAGAAGGTATTTTTCCTAATATCCAATCTCAACTTTCCCTGTACAACTTGAGGCTGTTTCCTCTTGTCCTGTCAATGTTACTTGGTTAAAGAGACCATCCCAGAAACACCATCCAAGGCCATGCCTAAATTGTGATTGTAGGCTGATCTAAGATGGCTCTGCTCATGCATCGTCCAGGGCCATGCCTAATTTGTGATTACAGGTTGATCTAAGTTTATTCTGCCCTTACTGGTTACAGAACAAGATGGGTTGGAGGACACAAGGGGGAGGAAGCTGAGCAGGCTGTAGGAAGCCCAGCTTTGGCCAGGAGTCAGCAGAGGGGTCGATAGCTCAGGCACAGAGAATTAATAACTCAAGAGCACTGTTGTGCTGGTTGTGAACTGGGCTAATGCCAGTTCAGGGGTTCCCCACTCTGGTGTGGACACGTCCATCTCTGCTGTCCCAGCTATCTCTGTGCTGAGCTTCACTGGGCAGGGTCAGCATCTGCTCAATCCGTGTGTTTCCTTCTCCTTTGGAACACCTTGCCAGGTGCTTCTTCCATACATGTTCAGCTGTCAAAAATACATAGATTACAAAGGAACCATAATTAAGGAATTTAACTCCAAAAATTAAGTTTCTATTTCTGCTTCCTTAAGAACCAGCAACTGGGAGTGTTTGCTTCACATGCAAAAAGGCCAAATGTGGTGCAAATTAGGACCTTCTGATGCTTATCTAGTTCTACCAGTTTTAATAGATTTAGGTAATGTCATTGAATAATACAGTTAAAATTCTCTAACCTTGATGTTTCTTTTTTTTTTTTCCATCTTTGATGTCTTAATACTTGCAAGGAAATATGTGTGCTTGGTGTAGGCTTCTCTTTTGTGAAATGTGAAATTTTTGTGACATGAAAATTTTGACTTGAATTATCTTGTTTTCACTGCTGTTTAATTCCTGCTTTAATATTATGCTCCTACAGCAAATTAAGAAGTTTTATTTTATTACAGGATTTAATTCAGAAATACGAAGGGGATCTATCCCAGCTGTCAAAAAGATGTGATGAAATGAAGAAGCTTTATAGCAACGTACTGGTACATATCATATTAAAATGCAATGAAAATAAATCTACATTTCTTTAAGGAAAAAAAAAAAGAGGGGGAAGAAAGAAGTGGAAAGAAGCACGAGAAATTCCCACGTGCTTGATAGTTATACAGTCTATGGAAAGAGAAACAAAACCTTTCATCTAACAGTGGTCAGAAGCTTTAAGGAAGGGGGTTGCTGAAATGCAGTGCTGACCTCTGAAACCAGAATAATGTCCTGGTTTGGGGACTGGGACATGATTTTAAGTGTGGTGGTGGTTTTTGTGGTGTTTTTTTTTTTTTTTTTTTTTTTTTGTCAGAGGAAGGGATTAAAAGCAGAGAAGTTCAATGATGAACAAATGTTACACAGAAGATGCAGCCAGGAAGGCCTTTGGGGACCTACCTGAACAGACACTGCAGATTAGCGAGATGTTTGACCAAGGAAATTTAATTAGTGATGTTTTACTAAAAGTAATATTGTAAGAATGCACAGGGGTTTCCTTGTGGCTCTTGCAAACTGGAATAACACCTCAGCTTAGGGCAGCAAGCCAGATTAGTCTGCAGCACATAGAGAACTCTGTCCCAAGCCTTCAAAAAAGTTGAAAACCAAGAACATCTGAGACTCTTATTTGCATCTGAAGAGGATTTCATTTTCCACGTAGCTGGAAGTTTCCTCAACCTCTAAGCCAGCTTCTTTTTGCCTTCCTTTCCCTGTTATTCTCTAAATAACTTTTTTGATGTATTTCTCTCCTTTAGAATGAATTTTTTTTTCTTCTGAACAAGCAAAGCAAATCCTTTTGCATGTTTATAAAGCATCAACAAATGTAAAGCAAATATAAAATAGGATGGGTGACCAAAGGCCACCTTATCATCCCAACAGCACTAGACAGGTATAGTCCAGCTCACCTGGAATAGCTGATCTGGAATTGTGTTGGAGTAGCCATGGAAATCATGTTGCACATAACCCAAAACTCCACAGTCCCACCTTGATGCTTTTATATCCTGCTTATGAAATCAATAGTGACCTTGGCATGTGACATTTCTGTGGGATGAACAATAAGTTGGAGAAAACTGCCTGTGGCATAACTGTGGGCTCTCAGCTCCTCACAGATGGTCATTAGCTCCAGGAAATGCCTCTCTCATTACTGTTGAAGTGATGGCACACCATGGGTCAGATGTGCCAGAGATGAAGGGCTTGGAGAACCCAGGAGGTGCAATTAGGAACATACAGGCAAAACTATTAATCAGGTGTCAGTGCTTAATGTGAAAGTTTTTGTGACTGGTTTGTATTTGAGTGGTTTCTGGTGCTGTGTTTCTGATTTCCAGGCAGAGGGTTTGCTCCTAAGAGCTGTTAGATGGTGTCCAGGTGGACGCTTTTTGGGAATACCAGATCTGCCCAAACCTCCCCCTGTATTTCAGCTGCAATTTGAAGTTGTGAAATGCAACTTCATTGCTGTTCTGCCTTGGGAGAGCTGATCCCACAATTACAGGGGAGCTCTCAATTACAGCCAGGATCAGAACTTGGAGTCTCTTTCTGATGAAGCCTTTGGAGCATGTTCTTTGGATTTCATAGAATCACAGAATGGTTTGGGTTGGAAGGACCTTAAAGATCATCCAGTTCCACCCCCTGTCATGGGCAGGGACACCTCCCACTATCCCAGGTTGCTCCAAGCCCCGTCCAACCTGACCTTGGACACTTCCAGGGATGGGGCAGCCACATCTTCTCTGGGCATCCTGTGCCAGGGCCTCCCCACCCTCACAGAGAGGAATTTATTCATTTTTTTGCCAATATCATTCACATCTTTTTTAAAAACTTCCTGTCTGTTCACCTTTTTCAGATTAAAGAAGGAACAGAGAAAGGCTCTTTGATAAATTACTTTCTTGCCCAAAAATATTTGCTTCCGTATGAATAATTTTTGTTTGTTTGAAAAGCAAAATGACAGGAAAGGGAAACTTTTTGGCCTGCCATGAAATATAAACCATATTTAGGATTTCAATTCCCTGGAGATTTCAGACAGCTCAAAGTTTTTCTCTTCCTCCTCTTCCCCTTCTTCGTCCACCTCTTCTTCCCTTTTATATTAACATTAACAGTAATGAAGGTATTTAACTTTTATCTTGCTTTTTAAAAGTTCATTAAGATCCTGGACGGTTTAGATTCCTTGGATACACTAATATTAAATATTTTTGTCTTTCAAATTTACAGGTAAAGTTTGGGGAGCCACAAGACCTGGACTCCCAAGAACTCTTTGGATGGATATCTTCCTTCATTAGTGAGTTTAGGAAGGCCTGTGCTGAAGTCACACCATAAGGAGAACACAGACCTTATAGAGAGGTGAGGGAAAGAGGAGTCCAGGAAACAAGATTTATTTGGTTTGTTACTTACTGATAAAAAGCACATAACCAGTATCTGTACAGCAGAACACCTGATTTTGAGAGATATTCAGTTTATAATGTGTAATTTGTAAGTGGTATTTGTAGAATCCCAGATGACTCAAGAGCCTCTCTCTTAATTTTTCTGATGTACACGTTATAGTACCTTGAGATTCCTGTATATTTAGAAAGGAAACACTTCTGACATTTTATAACTTCTCTTTTCAATCTTCTCCTTTGATACCCAGTCTTCTGACTCAGTTTTAACTATTATTTTCAATGAATAAGTTTCTGTATGGTCTTCTGATTTCTAAATAATACTTTCCCAAGTTTAATAATGAAATTGGGAGCTGTTACCCACAGAGGAGACTATTTAACTAAAATTCTAGTTTGTTTTTCTGCTATTAAAGCACTGAAGCCTTAGCATGGAATGGAGAAAGTATCTGGCTAGGTGTTTTGTTTTGTACTACAATAAAATGGTGCTTTTTATGGCTAATGTCATGTATTGGGATAAAATGCTACAGAAATCAATCAATATGTGAGATTTGCATTTGCAGGAAGACAAAAATGTCAGAGAAGCAAAATAAAAAGGTGTCACGAAGCATCTAAGTAATGGATATGGGAGGTAATTATCCATGGTTTTCAAAAGAGAAAATACTTCTGTTGCATTTGTCGGCTTTTACATGTTTTTAATTAGAATAATTATCTAGAGCTCAAATAAATGAGAGGAAAAGGAGGTCTCTAAATGTAGAGACAAAATGGATGTTTTTAACACTAAAAGCAGAAAATAGCTTAAAAGGTCATAGAAAAAATTTGGCGTTTTCTTCACCAGTTCTGCAAAGAGTGTTTTAGAAAAAGTGTTTTACCTGATTTGTTTCAGGTCTGACTGCCCAGGTCTCGCAGCGTTTGGGCTTTGATGGAAATGCTGAACACTCTCCCTGACTTCAGTGCTAAAAGGAGTTGGGGCTAATCCCTCTGAAAGGGTTAGATGAACTTACATCCAAAAATTACATTATCACAGCTCTCTCTCAGCTGGCAGATAACACTGCTCCATATCCAGCATGTCCTTGGCTGCTCCAGGTGGGTCCACTGAACGTCCTGGACTTTAGGAAAAGGGCCAGGAAGGAGCTGGACACCCACCCATTGGGTGCTGCAATACGTAGATTTTTAGTGCTGGTGTCACACAGGTAAAGGACAATCACCACGAGTGCAGAGACTCTTGGACACTGGAAAGTGGAGATGGAAGAATCCCAGGATTTTCTTTCTTGTCTTGGCCTCGGTGCTCCAAAGGGCAGCACAGGCAGCAGCTCCCGGGGGGTTACAGCTGTGACTGCCAGCCCAGCCCGCTGGGAAAAGGTAGAAAAGTGTTCTTGCAGCTAATTAGGAAGAAATCCTTCCCTGTGAGGGTGGGGAGGCCCTGGCACAGGTTGCCCAGAGAAGCTGTGGCTGCCCCATCCCTGGAAGTGTCCAAGGCCAGGTTGGACGGGGCTTGGAGCAACCTGGGCTAGTGGAAGGTGTCCCTGCCCATGGCAGGGGGGTGGAACTGGATGAGCTTTAAGGTCCTTTCCAACCCAAACCATTCCATGATTCCATGATTGCAGCAGCAGCCAAGTAGCCAGTGGGATCCTCGAGCTTTGCACCACCAGTGTTGCTCCCCTCCATCAGCTCTTCCATGTCTGCACTTGCAAAGGGCATAATTTTGGCTTCTCAACAGCCTTGTCAAGACTTTTCTCCCAGTTAACCACATGCAGTCATCTTTCTCAGAAGCAAAAAAGAGTAAAATAAAAGCAAAATCAATATCTCTGATACTTATTTTATATAAAAATATTTACAGAAGCAAATAAAGGGATTTAATTTTACAGAAATAATGGCTATATTTGCCTCAGGTCAGCATCAGATCAGTGAGATCTGGTTGACCCTGAAGTCAGTGGCATGTATCTGTGTATCAGGAGCTGCAGCTTACACCCCTCATTTCTGGCTGAAAGGGGAAAACGAAATTCCCTTTTAATTTCTTACCTCTCTATCCCACCGTGCCCTATGCAGGACATGGACATGCACTGCAAACACCTGCAGGTTTGGATGTGTGTCATTACTGCTCCAAAATCTGAACTATCTTCATTTATATGTGAATCATGTCAGATAATCCTGAATACAAGAGCCATTTCCATGGTATCAAGATCCCTGCATCCCTGAGCAGTGTTCGTGATGGTCATGATAAGTTCCAGGTTTTTTCTACCTTGGCTCCAGAGTCCTGGGAAGTCTCTTGTAACTAAATAGACTTTTTTCTTTTCTTTTTCACGACTCACTTTTTTCCCCCAGTCTTTTTTCTCTATTATTATATCTAACAGCCTGTGCTTGTTTTATAGCTCAGCTGGCATGGCCTCTTCCAATTAAAAATATATCCTGCATGGTAGTCGATATCTGTCTTTGTGTGAATATCCTGGAGCATTAATTAAAAAAATTAATGTCCAAATATCTTGTCAAGAAGTTCTCTCCCTTTCAGAGAGGGAACTTTCCTCTGGAGTGGGATCTTCCTGAGGAGAAATGTTTCAATTTTCCCAAATAAGCTGTTTCTTCAGTGCCTGTGAGTTTCAGAGACCTCCTGATTTATATGTAAGATAAATAGATCCTGTTCTCTACCTTGTTCTTTATTTCTTAAGTGTTATTTAGCATAAGGCTGGGTTTTTCAAATCTTATCACTTATCACTGTATCACTAAGTTTTAGTGGCATAAAGAATAATAGTTTTTATACCTCAACATTTATTTCAAATTATTTAGACAAGCTTAAAGTCTCCATATGGATGATGTCCTTGGAATCCTTCATAGCAGATGATGATTTTATCCTGCAAACCTGTAGTCATAAAAATCTAAGCATTGGATGAACCTCTTTGTGGAAACTGGCACTATCAGGAGCAACCCACAAGAACTACAGGTTTATTTGTATATAGCAATATATATTTGTAAATAATATATATTTGTATATAATAATCTGGATCATTTGTTTCCCTACAAAACCCACAGATCTGACTTCTGGCATATTTTTTAATATGAAATCTGAATGGTGGTTTTATAAGAAGTTCTGCTCAGTGAAATTCTCTCAATATTTAGCTGTGGGAAGTAAGGCTGTGAGTCAAATGCTGCACAGATTTTCCTTTCCTGGCAGCTCAGCTGGGTAAGACCTGCTCCCTGAAAAGGAAAGAAACTGAAATCTCTTTTCATGCTTTGTTTCCCTAAAATGCACACTCTTGGTAGGATGAGCAGTATTTCAGCAGGAACAGGAAAGAAGATTTCTGTAGCTCACATTAGACATTGGTGTTGTTCAGCAAGAACATGACTCAGAGAAGAAACTCCCAGAAGAAATCCCTGACTTTATCCACCTGTCCAGAGTCTCAGTGTTTTCTAATCTGCCCCAGGAAATGCTGTGAGAAATGGAGCTCCTCCAGGGACAGGCCACTGAAGTGATCTGAGCTCCCAGAGGGGCCTGTGTTACACCTGCACCACCACTCACAAGGGATTTCCAAAAAATAGGTTGAAATACAAATATCTTTCCACAAAGGTAGAAACTTCCCAGAGTTTCTTCGAACCAAAACCATAAAGAGCAGAGATTATCCAACACTAGTCTCAGTGGAAAAAACTGAACTCCCCGAAAGGGACAATTATATCCTAGGGCAGTGGCTCAACTTTGCCTTCCAGTTTTCCTCTTTTTTTTTCCCTTTCCTATTTGAATTACCACGCAACAGGCAGAGTGCTCCTGCTAATTTGTATAAATGAACAGTCAAAATAAAAACTGTGGTCACTTGGAAGGTGTTCTATGCAGAAAAGCCTTGATGTCACTTATGTGTACTGGTCTTCTAGTTTGAATTCCTGCTTTTCAATTCCAAACAGCAATTTTAGGAGAAGGGAAAAAATGATGGTAAGACAAAGTGAATAAAAACGTGAGGTCTCTAAAAGGGAGCCTGTTGGGCACTCACTGTACAACTGAAGCCTCAAAGTGTTCTTAGAAAATGCTCCTGTGCTTAAGAAGTTGCTGCTAATGATGATGCTCAGAAGAACCACAGACAGGTTTCAAGCTGCTCATCTTAGAGAAGAACATATTAAAAGCTTCAAGCCAAGAGGCTGCTTAAAGAGCCCTTGGAGAGATCCTTCCCTGCCTCACACACAGATGTTTGGATTTGGATATTCATAGAACCAAGAATTGACTCCCTGATTTTAAAGATATTTTCAAGCTGCCTAAATGCTCAGGTAGTAAGTTTTCTCACCAAATTAAATATAGTTATTCATTTTTTCACTCTCTCTGCTCACTGCCCAAGGAGAATATCCCAAAAGCTGAACCACCTACTTTCTTCCCAGAGTAACAAAGAAAAGGAGAGCCTTTGAAAACTCTAACTCAGGCAGGTATGAATATTTTGTGCAAATAATAATTTTATTTAGCATTAACTTGAATATTTCACGTCACTGCATGTTATTGCACCTGACATGGGATGTCTAAGCAGAACAGTGGGTTTGTTTGGGTGCACATTGAAATAATTGCAGGGAATGCTATATGTCTTAAGCCTTTACATTTGCTGCCTATTTACCAAGGGATGAATTTTGCCCATTGAAATACTTTAGTCAAGGGCAGTCAGCAGTAATTTAACAACAAAACCCCATGAAGTAGCTAAATATTGCTTTAAGCTCATTTTACAAATAAGACACTTGAAACAAAAGGTTTCAGATGTAAATTTGAGGTCTCTGGATGCAATTTAAAAATGCTGCAGAGTGTTTTGAAGCATCAATAACTGACACTCTTTTGCTTGCACAAGGGTAAATAACTGGTGATCTGTGCTCTGGTGATGTCACTTGCTCATAAGCATTGACCTAAAAAAACCCCTAAACCCCAAAAGTTATTGTCCATAAAGATCAAGTACTGATGGGCATATTTATACCAAAATTCTTCTTGTAGCTCCTAGAAATTTTCCTGAAAGAGCTCTACAGGATGTGCCCTGAAACGAAGTAATTATAAATAGAAATTTGCTCAACTCTTTTTCAAACCAGGAACTTTTCTCAGTCAGTAAATAATTCCCAGATAATATCCCAAGTTGCTGGCATTAATGCTTACACTGAAGTTTGTTGCTTGGAGTCCTGCCATTTAAAACAATCTGATCTCTCACTTTGTTGTCAGGAATTAAGCTGATTAGGAAAATTAAACCCCGTCCAAATCCCTTAGATTATGGATTTACTGAACTTGCCCTGTGAAAGGACAACGTGGCTGTGATGAGTCTGCTCTCCAAGCCTTGGCTGCAGCTGATGAAGCAACTCCCCAGTTCTCAGACCAAATGCCCCAGAGTCATGCAAAGCCTGGTTTTAGGTGC